TGAGGCATAATGTTTTATTATTCAAAGCCGCATAACTTTTTTAATATTTATCCAATTGCGCTGAATTTTTTTTTGTGTGCTATATGTGAGTAATACTCCATAAAAATATCAAAAAACGTGGTTAATGAAACCTCACTGAACGAGCCTATTGTGTTGGTGCAACATCCCATTAATGTGTGATAGGCATTGAAAAAAAATTATAACGTATGTGAGATTTCAAACATTTGTAGGTACATAAGCAGTCATTTTGCCATTTGATAGGTATTCAGTTGTTTCGATAGAAACTTTACTCAATTAAGTTGGCAGACGGGAGAAAATTGCAATTTAACAAACATATGTGCAACTTATGTAACTTATTGCGGTTTCTGCCATATTGAAAATATGCATATTCTCATAACTACATTTCACGTAACCAAATGGCAGACGGGTTAAAAACGTTCATCATATGAACAATTTTTGTCGCAATTTTGTTCATTGTTTATTAGGACTTGTACCAGCCTGCAATTTCTGCCAGTCAAAACTTAGGCTTTTGGTAGCAACTTATTTAATATAAATTAATGGCAGACGGGAAATAATTGATCTCAACTTTGAAAAATTTTGACATTTTGAAAAATTAAAAATAAATATTTGTACCACTTCAATTTTTCTGCCGGTGCAAAGGTACATTATTTATCTAAAATCCATTGCAACAAAACATGTTTTAGGCGGGAGAAAATTGTTTCAACATCTCAGCATTTTGATACAACTTCAAAAATTTTTAAATATTATTATACCAACCGAGATTTTCTGCCATTTACTTATTGATGTATTACATCGTAAATGTAACATAAATTTAATTTGGCAGACGGGAGCTCGTTGATCCACATGTCCGATTTTGGCGACATTTTAAAATTAGTAATATGACACATTGTACTAACCTAGGGTACTCATTTTTGTTAAAATTACCTTTACAATGTGTGGCAGACGGGATAATATTGATCCACATCTCCACTTTTAATTACATTTTCAAATTAGCATATCATTGTATTGTCACACGCGGGGCTCTTTGAAATTTCAGCCATTGCACTTCCTATTGCATAAAGAATAACCACCCTTAATGGCAGACGGGAGAAAATCGTTTCAAAAAAATGGTCGTTATGCACCGGTCTATAATGACTTCCCCAGTAACGTAGTTGAATATTTGCTCACGAGCTGCTTGATGGATGTAACGTTTAGCTGGCCATGTTGTTTCTTTAGCTTTAGATTGTTCATTTGAACATTTGCCATAATAAGAAGTACCACACACCCTATGGTATGCTAAAATCTTGTGAGGCTGTGCTTGTTCCAGAGAAATTCTCAACAGCATTTCTGTATCATCTATTTTTGTGGCGTATGATTTGATGGTTTCAAAATATCTATCTTTTGCTTTGACCAAAGAGCCCCCAAACCTTTCTTGTGACAATTTTTATTTAAATTTCAAACGTGCTGATTTCAGCGAAATAAATTTTTATCTTTCCTGTACTGACTGGGATTCAATTTTTGAGTGCACAGATGTGAGTACTGTGGTTTCTAAGTTTTATAATGTACCTACTCTACGATATCATTGAAATTTTTACCCCCTTATCTAGATCAAAACTCCAAAGTTTCGAAAGTGGATGCCTGATAACTTAAAAAATTTAATAATATAAAAAAAAATCGCTCACAAAAATTATAAATATACATACACACTCACAAGAACACTATGATCAGTTTGCTACTTTAAGATCTGAATGCCATAATATTTCTCAAACATCATATAGAAACTATGTGAAAAATTTAGAAAATCAACTGCATGATAGGCAATCTTTTTGGAACTTTGTGAAATCAAAAAAAGGCGGCACAGAATATCCAAAATGCATGACTTTTGATGGATGTGAATCTGACGATGCCCAGGAAATCACGGAGATGTTTAGATCTCATTTCTCTTCTGTGTACTCGAATTTTGATGGTCCAGCAACAGATTTATTTTTAATTTGTCCCTAAGTACAGGAGTTTTTCCAGATTTTTGGAAAAAATCATTTATTTCACCTATTTTTAAGGATGGTGACAGAGCTGATGTCAAAAACTACAGAGCTATTAGCACGATCTCTTTAATTGCTAAACTATTTGAATCACTGGTTGCTGATAGTTTGTCTCCATCTTAATAGGATCATAATGAATGAACAGCACGGTTCTATGAAGGGGAGATCCACTGTAACTAATCTCTTGACCCTTGACCTATGAGCAGGCTCTGTTGGGTGCGTTTGAGAATAAGTATCAGGTGGATGCTATCTATACTGACTTCTCGAATGCATTCGACAGAGTCGATCACAGAATTTTGTTATCCAAGCTAAATGCTGTGGGACTTTCTCACTCTCTTTTCAGGTGGTTCGAAAGCAACCTGAAAGACCGAAGACAGGCTGTTAAAATGAAAAATTTTGCATCATCTGAAATTCTAGTGACATCAGGGGTACCTCAAGGGGGGCATTTGTCAACCATACTTTTTAATTTGTTTATAAATGATGTTAAATTGATTTTTAAGGACTGTGATTTTAGTGTGTATCCTGATGACTTTAAGATTTATAAGATTGTGATCGATGCGCTTGGCTGTCAATCTTTGCAAGAACAACTTAACTTGTTTACCACATGGTGTTCAGTAAATAATCTTAAACTAAATGTCAAAAAATGTAACGTTATCACATTCAGCAGAATCATCCCATCGCCCGGGTGGAGATATGAAAATTATTGTCCGACTTGGTGTTATGAAGCAGCTCAGAAAGTTTGACGTGTACATGAGTAACAAAATCCAAGGTTCGATGTACTGGAGACTATTATTCTGAAGACAATAAAATCGAGAACTTTTAACAATAATTTGTACGTTTGATGTACTATGAAATTTTCAAAATTTTTGAGCATAAAGTAACCATTAGTTTGTAACTTGACAAGAAAAGTTAAGTTCAAACCCAAATAATTTAATAATTCACGTTATTGTTTTAATAATTTCCAGTGCTGATATTTGTGTGCACTTTTCCACACGCTCGTAGAAAATAGCTATTTACCTAACAAGTGCGGAAAAATATTTTCCGCAAGTGTTAGGTACAATATTTTTCCTACAGGCGTAAAAATGTAAAATTTTTCTTTTTTTTTTGACATATCAGTGCGGTAAAATTTTTTCCGCACTGACAGCTGTGCGGAAAAAGTTTTTCCGCACTGATATGTCAAAAAAAAAGAGTTTTACCGCACCGTGCGGAAAAACTCATTTTCCGCACGCATATCAGTGCGGAAAATCGATTTTTCCGCACGGCTGTAGGAAATAGTTATTTTCCACAGGTTGTCGCTCACTGGAGCGTAGCGCGGCGGAGCGTACGACAGCGCGGCGTAGAGGAATTTTTATAATACATTGTTTTAAACAGGAGTACGCTCACTTGCCGGAAGAGCACCGATCGGCAGCGCAACGGAGCGGCTGGAATTCTATTCTGGGAATATTTTTCCGCTACGGTACGCTGCCGATCAGGCTGCTACGCTGCGCGTCGGACAATGTGCGATAGCCAGCGAACAAAAAAGGCAATATTTTTGCAAGAGAACGTTTTTAAGATTAGTTTTGACTAGTTTTTAGTCTTAAAAATTGGCGAAAATGTCGGAGGAAGAAGAAAAGCTCGTGGCTTTAGTTTCGAAATACGAATCGTTGTTTGACATATCGAACAAAAATTATTCCAACATTGAAATAAAAGATAATATTTGGAAGCAGATAGGAGAACAAATGAATTGGTCAGGTAAGTCAAATATTTTATTGAAATACATATACCACAATTTGAATTGCATATTAAACTATTATCCGTTCACAATCCGATGTCCACAGGTAGGTAGGTACAGGTAAATCACTTTTCAATGCTATTTGATAGGGGAAGGTGATAAATTTACCTGCACCTGTGGACATCGGATTGTGAACAGGATATATCTACTAGAATTTCACTCGCAACAGTCTATATTGAATAATTGATGGATTTCTCATAAATCCGAAACATATCCCTGTGAGAAATTTTCCTGTTTTTTCAATAAAAGAGTGAAAGACGAAACTGTGCGTCGTTTCTTCTGGAATTTGCCCTTTTTCACTGTGAGAAAAATGGACTACAGATTTCATTGTTAGCATATTTTTAATCTATCAGTCCCCTGTTTATCATTGCATGTTGCCAAGGAACTGCACCCTCGGGGGAAGAAAAATAATTTGTAAATGTATCTCTAATAGACATGGCCTCCACTGTCGCATTTCCTCCCACATGTCGTAAATTTTGAATATTATCATTGGTAAGGTTATTGTCAACTGGTTGTAATGGAATTAAATCAGGCCTTAAAAAGTTATGCAAGCAACAGGTCGCTAAAATCACTTTGTCCACATGTTCGGGGCTCATTTTTAATCTCCTTTGATAAATCTTAAATACCTGTGTCAAAATTCCAAAAACATTTTCAGATAACCTTCTGGCTCGGCTCAAGCGATAATTAAATGTTTTTTTTGGTATATTGTCTCTAGTTTGTGAGCCCGGAAATGGTCGCATCACATGCTTGCTTAAAGGGAATGCTTCACCACCCACAATTACGTGAGGCACAATAATATTGGTTCCTGGAAGATTTTTATCGGGAGGTATATTAAAAGAGTTCTGCAATAGTGCTTTTCCCATATTAGAAGAAGCAAATATTCCCCCATCACTGTTTTTTCCATAGGCACCTACATCTACACTTATAAATCGATAATTTGCATCTACTAATGCCAAAAGAACGACACTAAATGTCTTTTTGTAATTGAAATATAGCGAACCGCTATTGGCAGGCGTCTATAGCACCGATGCAATTAGGGAAATTCCAAAGTTCGTAGAAGTCTTTTTCAACGGATTTCCATATTTCCTTTGTTGGGCTTGGCATAACAATATGACGTAATTTGGTCCAAATTATGTCACAAGTTGAATATACAATTTCTCTAACAGTGGTTTCTCCCAGGCGATACGTAAATGCAATCTCCTGTAGCCAAGAATCTGAAAAAAAATATTTATATTTCAGTTCCACAATGTAAACACAGATGGAAAAAATTAAGGGACAATTTTCGCAAAGCCGTTAAAGCACGAAAAACAAAGAGTAGGGACGCAGCAAGAAAAATTAGGCCCTGGAAGCTTGAACAACAGATGGCCTTTCTTCTCCCACACATGACCGAGAGACCTAAAACCTCAAACATACAAGTGATAGAGGAAGAAACTGATAATTCAACTGAAGAAGAGTCCTTCAACACTAGTTCAGCACCGCCCACTCCATCGACGTCATCCACTACAACAGCAACATCAAGGACAAAAATTCAGAAATCCCGTCAGGTACCCCAAGCTAATGTAGCAGATGTGCTGCAAAACTACCTAATAAGTAAAGATACAAGCCAAAAAAAAGAAGAAAACAACTCAATAAGAAGCTTTTTCATAAGTATGTCGGAAGCAACGGAAAATTTGCCAGCTCATCTCCAACTAGAGGTGAAATCAAAACTTTTCACAGCAGTCCATGAAGCTGAAAAAGCAGCTCTATTTGAAAGGCAACATGGACAATCAACAATAGTTCAATATCCACCCTATCCATCACAAACATCACCAGTCATAACCCAGCCACTCTATCCATACACTCAATCATCATCCTCATCACCAGGTAATCAGCCACAGTTCGCACACTTTTCTCACGATTCTATTTTACATAATCTAGATAATCCACAATAGTTTACGACGGAAAACATGAAAATACTAAAAAAAAACTTTAATTTTGTTTTAATTCTAATATTTTTTAGTTTAGTTTTTTTTGCAAATCAGAGGTTTAGTTTAATTTTTTTGCAAAATAAGGGTTAACTTTATTTATTTTTTGCAAATTAGAGGTGTACTTTCCTTCGTAACCAAATATATTTTTTTTATGAGAAAAACTTGTTATTTACGTTACCCCAATTTTCTTTAATTTTATTTCTCGTCCTATTTTTATCTGTTCAACCTCTAAATGGCTTTTTAAATTTAACTTACCTCAAGCATACAGCTAACCTTTCTTCTGGACCTATAGCTTCACGAAATGGAGTATTTTGTCGTTCTATTTCTGGTTTTAGGTGATCTAATAGTTTCATGAATTGTCCATGCGTCATTCGGAAATACTGATGAAATTTAATTTCATCTTCTAATAATTCAGGAAATAAAGTATGGAATTCACCCTCAGTTTTTCGTTTCTTACATATATCATGCACCCAACACTTTCTTTTTCTTCTATTCTGTTTTTCTGCTTCTTCGCACAAAGCAGCAATGATGAAAACTTCTTCCTCATCGGAGGACAACATTGTGAGAACTGAAAAAACAGAGATGGCCGCTTCGCGACGCTCCGATGCACCGCGCTCTATGCGCGTATGGGCAAGAAAATGCGCTACGCCGCGCTTCCGTAAGCTCCGCCGCGCTACGCTCCAGTGAGCGACAAGCTTACGGATACGTGTTTGCGTGCGGAAAAGACACTTTGCGCACGTGTTAGGAACAGAAATTTTCCTACGAGCTTCATATCAGGTAGGTTATAACAAAAATTTAAAAAAAAAAACGATAATTTGTTTAATTATTTTTAATTAACTTGAAGGGAACCTATGCATTTATCAAAAAATTACATAACAAAAAAAAAATGACAGAAAATCCTCGTCAGAGCTGTTCATCTTAAAGCGTTTAAATTTGATGAGAAAGTTTGTAGATTTTTGCATATAAATAGAGAATAAATCTGACAATGTGTCAAAGTTAATTTATATTTGGTGTTTGTATAGATGTTGGCTGATATAGAAACAGAGGAAAAATTTGTCATCATGTGTCAAAGTCGACAGGAACACTTATTGTTGCTTGACAATTATAATTACTTTTCGGCACTCGGTGCGGATAAGGCCTGTATCCGCACTGAGTGCGGAAAAGTGTAACTTTGAGCCCGGAAATGCGTGCGGAAAAGTACTACTTTGCGCACGCTCGTAGGAAATAGTTATTATCCTAACAAGTGCAGAAAGTTATACTTTCCCGCACGCGACTGCCGTTGACCCGAACGACGCGGAGCGGAGTTCGGGCAAGCAGTCAAGGGCGGGAAAGATACTTTATGCATGAGTTAGGATCAAAATTTTTTCTACGACCGTAGCAAAATAGGGCACAAAGAAAATATGCCTTTTTTCATTAAACATATATTGCACACATTTACCTAAATAATCCACATTTATTTATTATTATAGATATTGATTGTGAAAGTGCAATTGGATTCATTTTGTAAATTAATCGCCGACAACAACTATGTAGGTAGGTACCGATTTTTCAATAAACTGGTATTACTACTGCTGGGATAAGTGTTCGACGCCATTGCCAAGTCATCGGTTACAGGTTAAGTCACTGGAGACGAGGTTTCTGATCTCAACTCTGGTGCCTTCTGCGATTTGCGAATGACTGCTTGACGATGGATATTTTGCGACAATTATCAGAATTTTTTAATGTTAAAAGTTGTAATGGAGATTGGGATCTTCTATGTTCTATATAGTGTTTCTTCTATTGAATTGAACTATCTTCTAAGTGTCTGCATTGACAAGAATATGGATGTGCAGAATGTACCAACTAAGAAATTTATTGAGTGAAAGTGATTACAAAATTTAAAATAATGTGACAGCCAGAGATAGTGACAGCCTAACAAAAGTTTGACACACACTGACATTAACATTAAAAAACCTGTACAAAGAATGACTGGTAAAAAACAGATAATGAAGGTAGTTTTTTTGCAAAGCTACTTTCCCGCACTGAATGCGGGAAAGTAATTTGAAACTTTTGTGAAACTTTCTGAACTTAAATGTGTGCGGGAAAGTGGGCAAAATCGCACGGTCGTAGAAAACAGTTATTTATGCAACAAGTGTGTAAAGTGAACCTTTTTTCACGAATGTGAATTTCACATGAGTGAAAAAAGGTGCTTTACGCACGTATTGCATACGAATTTTTTTCTACTACCAATCAAATATGTGTAAAAAAAAATTAACTTAGACAAATACTTCACGCACTAGTGCGTAATATATTTTCACTTTACGCACTAGTGCGTGAAGTAATTTACCAGAAAAATACTAGATTGACAGTGTCAACATCTGTCAGTGACATTACTTTACACACTAATGTGTGAAGTAAATTACTTTACGCACTAGTGCGTGAAGTGAAATTTTACGTCTTCTGAATAGTGCGTAAAGTGAGTACTTTACGCACGGTAGTAGAAAATAGTATATTGTGCAACAAGTGTTGAAAATAGCACTTTTCACACGCGTGGGGAAGTTTGGTGGCACGAGCCGCAGGCGAGTGGCACAAACCCCACGAGTGTGAAAAGTGCGTTTCACACGCGTTGCACATTATGCTTTTTCTACGACTGCGAAATATCTATAACTGTATTCACATTGGAATTTATTTATTTATTTTTTTGTTGAAAAATTATTATTTGAAATTATAATCAACGAACAATTTTGGTACGTACGCTGAATGCACTCAGAGTTGCTTGTAGAACAAAAATTCAATGGAAGTGTCATTTTTATTTTAGCGTACTTTTCGCACGCTGTGCGAAATAATCGATTTTCTAGGTAAGTTAGTAGTGCGTTTTTAATAGCTTTCTAGGCAGTCGTAGGAAATCTATATATATATAAATGAATGCCACTTTTCGTTGTAATTTTATAACTCAAGAACGGACTCACCTAGCCAAACCAAATGTTTAGGCTTTGTTCGGACTATTTATTAGATGGTTTATGTGAAGTTTGCACAAAATCGGTCGAGCGGTTCTTCATTTATCACATTTTTTGTAATAAATTAATTATTCAATAAATGGAGGATCATTTTGCTGTCAAATTGAAACTTTTTTCAGCGTTGACAGTACCAGCATGTTGTTATGTCATTAATGTGGTCATTTCATTACTTATTCTATTTATTTATGAAAAAAATTTACTAAGCCCGCATACGGCGCCATGTCTTATAACCGATAAAGTCCATTCCAAAATATTTCGTTGACTTCACGGCTATAAAACCCTACCATAAATTAGATAGCTATTAGCCTCTATTGTGTAGGTACCAGGTTCTTTTATGTAGGTACCGGCTTTGGTACCGGGTTCCTTAATACCCACTCAAAGGTTTACAGGTACGGATTTTGTGCCCATTATAATGAAAACGAAAAAGGCGTTTCATGATATTATTAATCTACGTCGGTGTCATTATGACACATTTAGCATTGTCATTTGAATGTCATTAGGTCCTTCATAATAGCACTAGTGCGTTTAAGAATTCATAATAACACCCAAATTTTGAAATGAAAAATATACAAAAAGAAAGTTAGTTGCCAGAAGAACCTTTTCAATAATGCTGTCTCTATATTCGAAGAGACACTTTCGAACTCAGAATCACCAATAATAATATTATTTTCCACTATAAAATTGAATTTATGGCACAAAAATGGACTCCAATATTGAAGCTGCCAAAGTCAAAATTCTAAAAACCAACAAGCAGGTTCTCGACTAGTACGGGCACCTGCTAAATTTCAAATTTTAATTTGAAAAGTTTTTGCTATTTCAAGGCAAATCAAATCTATTTGGACCATTGTAGATTAAATTTTGAATGATACACGTTCGATATGAACTTTATTAATGAAACTTGTGTAACTAAACCACTCGGCTAACGCCTCGTGGTTTAACGTTACACGCGTTTCATTATGGCGTTCATATCGAACTTGTATCATTAATAACTATTATTTATGTTATAATCTTATACTATCTTAATAATTACCAAAACTTAATATCTAATACAATATAATACAATACACAATTCAACCAAACCTAATCTATATTTAGTTCCGTTTCACTGTCACTGTCATCTTCATCTATGCCTAAACTAATTATTAATGGCTTAACATTAATACCTATTGAATTATAGGTTTCTTCAACTTTTATAACGTGATTGACAGAATTTTTCCAGCTTTGAACTGGAATATTATCTACACATTTTCTAATTAAATCTATTACAGCAGTACTAAGTGTAGGAGAGGTGTTTCCTCTCCTAACCATTGCCTTCAATTCATGCCAGATATGTTCTATTGGATTGAAAATACAATAATATGGAGGAAGACGCAAAACTGTATGACCACAAGCGCTAGCAAGATCGTCACAAATATATTCTTTTTTAACATTATATGATTTCAAAACGTTTAAAAGATCTTTCTTTGTATAATTTTCTTCGAAATACATATCATTTTCCATCATATATTTTTGAAGTTCTACTTTTGTATTACTTGCATTGGGCACTTTATTTTTTTGACGGCTGTGGTAACTAGCGTTGTCCATCACAATTATACTGTTTTCTGGTATGTTCGGAAGAAGGCGATTCTGAAACCATTCTTCAAATAATTTTGCATCGGTATCTTGATGATAATCTAATGATGAATTGGCTATTTTTTTTGCGGATAGCAGCAAAGAGTTTGGAACAAAACCATTTTCTGATCCGGCATGCAAAATTGTAATCCTCTGGCCTTTATTTGAGGGTGCTTTGGTTTGACGTTTGGAGGTTGAGTCGCTCCATCCTCTTTTGGGAGTGTCATGGGTATCAAACCATGTTTCGTCAAGATATATTATCGGACGATTTTCTGCCCTATATTGTTTTATGGAACTTAAATATTCTCGACGCCATGCTTGTAATCGCTGGGATTCCATTAGCACTTGCCTCTTATT